ACTTTTCGAAAAGATAATAATAATAACTACTAGATTTGTTGTGCGAAAGAGTTTTCAAAGTAAATTTAGTCATTTGATTTTTAATAGTTTTCTTCAGAAATGAGAATGAAGAAAACTTTAGGATAAAGGGTTTGAATGGTGACGTGAAGAGGTGCGGTTTTTTAGTAAAATTGTGAATTCCACTTATATGTCACCATTCAATAACTTTTACCAAAATGAAGTGCGTTTTTTGTTTTCTGCTTTTTTATTAAAATAATAATATAATACATCAGTTTTGTGATAAAAAGGTAAAAACGCTTTGCATAGTAATACCGCATTTATTTAGGTGTGTTTTGAAATATTAAGTGCGTTTTTCAATTTTAAAAAAATCTTTTTTAAAAAAAAAAGTAGACATCTTAATTTTGTTAAAAAATACAGTTTTATTCAAAAATATTAATTTTGTTTTTAAAAAATATCTAATAATATTAATTTGCATTGTTTATTATCTTATTTCACCAATCAAATATTATTGTGTACCGCTAATTATATAAAAACCGTACTTGTTGTGCAAATATATTTTCCCGCACGTACTGCAGTTAAACCGTATCATATTTTAAAACCGCTTTTTTTGTACAATAAAAAACGGTGTTAGCATTCGAAACCAAAAACTTAAGTAAATAAAAAAGCGAGGATACAAAAATATAAAGGAAAAGAAAACGGGGGAGATGAAAAAGAAAAAAAAAGGAGAAGAAAATTCGAGACGAACCCTGTGGTGCCTGCTCCTTCTCTAATAAACCCCTCTCTTCTTTTCTTTTCACACCTCTTGCTCTTCATTTTCTGCTGCGACCCAGATTAGGTAGAAGCTTCCAGAATCTCGCGATCCAGGTTTGATTCCGATTCCCTTCTCTTTAAGTTAAAAATAATTAGGGGCGGATCTTCTAGATCCGAAGCTCCTCTTTCTCGTAGATGTGATTTTTTTTTTCTCTCTCTCTTTTTAAGGAATGATGCATTTGTACGAGTACGTCAATGGCTCGCAGGTTTCCTTCCCGGATTACTGGTTTTTGAATTTGACTCTGGTTTCGCTGTTTTAACTAATATCCGCTGCGGATTTGTCTTGGGAAATCACCAGCTTCTGCTGGTGTAATGTATTGTTGGTTTGAATCCAAACTGGTGGTTTGAATTTACGTTCAGAGTGTTGGCGGATTCTTATTATAAGGCCGCCTAGGTATCCAATTAGCTTCCTATAGATTTCTGATTTATTTCGGCTTTGAAAGCAGTTTCATATACATGACACTTAGTGGAGCATGTTAATGTAATTTTTTTTATTCTGTTCATTAAGATAGTTAAGGGTACCTGAGTTTGTTCTGTTATCTTTTTAGCTGAAGAAGGTCCGTTATAGATCATCACTTATGATCGCTATTGTAATCTGATATTTCTATTTATTGACCAGGTTGCTATCAGATACTCCAGAGGGTCTAGTGTTCAAGAAAACAAAGCCTGAAAATGAGTGTGGTTGGTTTTGATTTTGGAAACGAGAATTGCCTTGTTGCTGTTGCAAGGCAAAGAGGTATCGACGTTGTGCTTAATGATGAGTCAAATCGTGAGACTCCGGCTATTATATGCTTTGGTGAGAAGCAACGGTTCATCGGGACTGCTGGAGCTGCTTCAACCATGATGAACCCCAAAAATTCCATATCCCAAATCAAGCGTCTCGTTGGTCGCCAGTTCTCCGACCCTGAGCTGCAAAGGGATATCAAATCTCTGCCCTTTTCTGTCACGGAAGGTCCTGATGGCTATCCTATGATCCATGCTAGGTATTTGGGAGAGATGAGAGCCTTTACCCCCACTCAGGTCATGGGAATGATGTTGTCTAATTTGAAAGGTATTGCTGAGAAGAACATGAATGCAGCAGTGGTGGACTGCTGTATTGGTATTCCTGTTTACTTCACCGACCTCCAGCGAAGGGCTGTTCTGGATGCTGCAACTATTGCCGGCCTGCATCCTTTGCGCTTGATCCATGAGACAACAGCAACAGCTTTGGCATATGGTATTTATAAGACAGATTTGCCAGAGAATGAACAGCTCAATGTCGCATTCATTGACATTGGGCATGCAAGCATGCAAGTCTGCATTGCAGGCTTCAAAAAAGGACAGCTCAAAATCTTGTCTCATGCCTTTGATCGCTCGCTTGGGGGGAGGGACTTTGATGAAGCTCTTTTCCATCATTTTGCTGCTAAGTTTAAGGAGGAGTACAAGATTGATGTCTCCCAGAATGCCAAGGCTTGTCTCAGGCTCCGGGCTGCGTGCGAGAAGCTGAAAAAGGTTCTTAGCGAAAATCCTGTGGCACCATTGAATATTGAGTGTTTGATGGATGAAAAAGACGTTAGGGGTGTCATAAAGAGGGAAGAGTTTGAAGAGATCAGCATCCCGATTTTGGAGCGTGTTAAGAGGCCTCTACAGAAAGCTCTCTCTGACGCGGGCCTTGCAGTTGAAGATGTACACATGGTCGAGGTTGTTGGCTCTGGCTCTCGTGTCCCGGCTATGATCAAGATCTTAACTGAGTTTTTTGGTAAGGAGCCCAGGCGTACAATGAATGCCAGTGAATGTGTGTCAAGGGGATGTGCCTTGCAGTGTGCCATTCTCAGTCCGACCTTTAAAGTTCGCGAATTCCAGGTGATGGGTGCATATCTATGCTTAAGGAAGTGTGGATTTTTCGTCTACTTATAAGCAGCCCGAGAACTGCTGTACATCAAGTTATCTAACCAGTCTTATTATGTATTTTTTCTATTAAGGTTCATGAGAGCTTCCCCTTCTCAATCTCGCTGGCGTGGAAAGGAGCAGCTGTTGATTCTCAAAATGGAGGCGCTGAGAAGCAGCAGAGCACCATTGTTTTTCCCAAAGGAAATCCCATTCCTAGTGTCAAGGCTCTAACGTTTTATCGTTCTGGAACATTCTCTGTTGATGTGCAGTATGGTGATGTGACCGAGTTGCAAGCACCTCCAAAAATCAGCACGTACACGGTTTGATCTTTCTCCAGTGTCATGACTACTCAAGACTGCAGCGCTCTTGTTTCTCATGGTTGATCTCCTTTCTGTAGATTGGTCCCTTCCAGTCATCAAAAGGCGAGAGAGCAAAGCTTAAAGTGAAAGTGAGATTGAACCTGCATGGAATTGTCTCAGTTGAATCGGCAACAGTAAGTTTTTGTTGCTATATTATAACTATTGTGATCATCTAACACAATGGGTTCTTTAGGTGATTTATTTAAAGACTCATTCTCTTGAATAATTACATATTGATCATTCAGAGCCGTGCCTTCCCTTACGAACTTGTAGATCCTTTAAGTTATGCTAATTTGTTTTCTCCCATCATTGCAGCTTTTGGAAGAGGAAGAAGTTGAAGTGCCGGTGTCAAAAGAACAACCGGAGGAAACTATTAAGATTGACAGTGACAAAGCTACTGCTGAGGCAGCTCCTGCTTCTGGTGACTCTGATGTAAACATGCAGGACGCCAAGGAAAGTAGTGATGCAGCTGGTACTGACAATGGTGTTCCTGACTCTGCTGATAGCCGGTGCAAATGGAAACTGATGCAAAGGCTAGATTCTCCACTGAACTGATGGTGCTTGCTATATACAGGTTC